TGTATTAAATTACAATATTTTTTGGTTATTTAAATATTTTTATAATAAAAGACTCATTTATTAAAAATATATATTATTGTTAAATTATTATTACAAATAAATAAATAAAAATTTATAAAACTATTATTATTATTTAAATTATTAAAAAAATAATTATTAATTATTAAAAAATAATTATTAAAAGAAGATAAGATTCCTTATCTTTTCGTAAAGAGATAAGCATGAAAAAAAAATTAAAACTTATAATTATCCTTGCATTAAATGTAAAAGAATAAATAAAAATTAAATTAAATTTTGTGAATATATATATATATATATATATATATATATATATATATATATATATATATATATATATATATATATATATATATATATATATAAAAGATGGGTTAATGGGTGAAAAGGAGAAGTAAGAAATGGATAGAGAAAAGTAAAGAGAGAAAGAGGAAAAAAGAATATCAATAACCTCTACAATTTTGAGTATGATCTAAGTTATTAATGTAAGAGAATAAGATATTTATTATTTTATTTATAATTATGATTATAGAGTGAGGAATTTCTAACTTCATTTTGTTTATTTCTTTATATTTATTTATGTATCTCCAGTTACATACTAATCTTCTTTTATATTTTTTATTTATTTATCTAACTTCAATTACATACTAGTCATCTTTTATATTTATTTATTTATCTCTACTTATGCAATTATCCTCTTTTGTATTTATGTATTTAATCCATCCTCAGCTAAGTAGTGATTCTATTTTATATTTATATTCTTTAATTATTTTTAAATTTTTCTTAAAAGCGTAATATTTTATTTATGAAGATTTGATGATATTGTATTTGGAGATTGGATCTTAGAGATTTAAATGAATAATTATCACTAAAAAATTATTAATTTTAAACTTATTTATCTTGACTAGTCACTACAAAATCAATTCAAATATTCTTAATATAAAATAGAATAAAATATGTTGATAAAATTAAAAATGTGCTTTTTTATATTATTTTGAGATAATATTATTTTACATGATATTTGTTTACTTTCCTATTTTATCTCTTGTGGATGATAAACTTGAAAATATAATCTTAAATAGATGGAGGCATCAAACCTTTCAAATCCCTTCTATGCTACAATCATCACTTTCTTTATTGGGATTACTTGGAATACAAACATTATTGACCATTCAGTTGCTTCTAAGGAGATGAGTCTATAATCTTGATATTAACATCTAATATAAAAATTTCAATCATTCTATAATGATCAATAATTATCACTTTCTATATATCTCCTATTATTCACCACATTCCTTTAATGAAATTATTCTCACCAACAAGGTAAATATTTGTATAGTAGTTTTGAGAAAATAAAGAATAAAAAATAAATAAATCTTTTTCTTTCTTTTGTTTTCTTTAATATTAGGAAAATCTATATAATAATAATAATAATAATATACATTATACTTTTATATATATATATATATATATATATATATATATATATATATATATATTTATCTCACATATTACTTTTACCAAAAATTTAGTTGCAAATATTACTTTACTTATACAAATATATTAATATAGAGACGTTACATTGCTCGCTTGTAACAAAGATGATACAGATGACAAACAACAGAGAAGAGAGAATTGCACGTGAAAAGAAAGAAAATACAATTTTGCATAAATAATTAAATTTATTTTTTTAAACCCTATAACACTTATTAAATTGATTGTACTGAAACTAACATAATAAATTACTGTGTGATTTGCTGACAAATTAAGTATTTTATGATTTAGATCTAATAATACAAAATTGTACAACCCTTACTATGTTAGCTCTATTTATGATTGATATAGTTAGTGATTTATTGGGTTAGCTACTCTTGTAACTTATTATGATGAGTGGATTACAACCATTGTAATAAATTGTGATGAAATGTGTTATTTACCTTAATGTAATACTTTAATACAAGATAGATTACTGAGATTTGATTTTGTTTTGAGATGGTCTTTCTTGAAGTTGTCTAGTGTATGATATTTTATTTAACGAATTTTATAAATTTATTTTTAATTGTAAGGTGTTGGTTGAAATGTTTGAAACAATAGCATGATCTTCTTAGTGACACTAGAATAAGAATGAGACACTAAAGAAAATATTGATATTGTGAAAGAGCAGAAGGAATAAAATGTAGCCATTCATCAAACTCAATAAATACGTCACATTTTAGAAATCATTTTCTATTTGACTTCATTTCGAATTTCTAACTCATTTTAAAACTTTTAGGTGCTACTCACAAAAATAATATTATTTTAATCAAATTAGTTAAAATGAGTAATGTTAATTACGCAATAAATTTTGAAAGAAAAAAATATCTAAAGTTAATAATGATAAACCTTTTATTTATTATCATATTTATTAATATTTTATTTATTTAGAGCATTTTGTTATTAAAAATTATTTAAAAATAAAAATAAATATTTTATTATGCATTCTATATTTATATAAATAATTCTGACAAATTTTAAGTAATTTAAATATGAGACTTTATAATAAAATATTTAATTTTATTTTTAAGCTAACTCTTTTTAAAATTTATTTTAAAAATATAAAGTATAATATTAAGGTGAAAAAAGTTTCTCTCTCTCTCTCTCTCTCTCTCTCTCTCTCTATATATATATATATATATATATATATATATATATATATATATATATATATATATATATATATATATTCCGTGCCATAATGATCCACACTCTTAAAGGAGAAGGATGGAAAAGACAAACTTATTCAATATTTAAACATGACAAACTTTGTCCTTATACCTCTTCAATCATGTCTTCTTTAATATCTAATTTTATATGGACTCGTTTTTTACATACAACTGGATCCTATAACTTAAGCTACAACCATAACTATATTTATAAATAGTTTAAAATAAATTCTATAATTTTTAAAATTTACAGAAATAAATGATTATTAATTCATATTTAATCATTAAGTTTTAATAACAGATATTAAGATATTTGTTTAAATTATATAATTTTTTATCTTTTGAATTAGTAAAATCATTTATAAGTTTTTGGTGATATAATCGGTCCCCGCAATTTTGTTCGATCAGAATTTCTTTTTTCTTTTTCTTTTTTATGTAATGTGACTTACCTGACTTTTTAGTAAAATCCAGTATGAATGGATTATGAACTGCCAAAATTCTGAATGATTTTGTAATTGAACAATGTTCTGTGGTTAGCAAAAATTAGTTCGCATACGAGGAAAAAAAAATAGAAGATGAGAGAATGATAACATGTACACGTAACAAGAAAAAAATATTATTAATATTTTTTTTATTCAATACTTTAAAAATATAAAAACTTTTATGATTCATTTTTGAGTTTGTGGTGTGTTTGTAACATTATGTAAAATATAACTATAAAAATGTAAAATATATAATTTAATAATGATTTAAAAAATTGTGACATATATTAGTACAATGATAAATTAAATCTATGTATGCTATTATAAATATATAATAAATGATTTTAGACAGCACAAATACTTACTAGTATATTTTTATTAATAAATTTTTAACTAAAATACCAACTTAATTTTATGTATTTTTTAATATTTATATTAATGGCTAAGGGGGCCTATATGAAATTAATAATAAATAATAAATATAAGTAAAGTTGTTAACTACAATTTTGTATTGTTTTAACTAAATTTACTTGTACCGTAAGAATATCCTACATTTACAAGTAATAACTTCATTTTTTTTATCGGTTAACAAATTTAGAGTTTCATTTAGTTTAAAATTTTCACACATCAATCATAATAATCCTTATACACATTTAATCATACTTATTGATATAAAACTAATTTCATTAAGACTATTTGTACAAAAAAAATCTAAAACAAGGATAGTTTGGTTAAAACTATTTTATTGTTTCTAAATTTGATTTTAAAATTATTTTTTTCCCGTAATATGTGAAATTTCACTTTGTAGTATCGAAAAGGTAAATGGTTCTTTAGATAATTTAAAAATGTCTTAGGCCATTTCAATTGTCAAATCACCTAAAAACATATTATTTAAGATATTCAACTATATTTATATAATTAGTTCAAGTCATTAAGACATTTAAAAGGCGTAAATTGTTATTATACATCAAATATTAAATTATATATATATATATATATATATATATTAATCTATTTTATCACCTATATTTTGAAGAAACTATATATATATATTTATATAGAATATATATATATATATATATATATATATTCTATATAAATATATATATAGTTTCTTCAAAATATAGGTGATAAAATAGATTAATATATTCTATTTTCTTTTTTACCCTCTTATTATTAAAAATTAAGGTAGGTTGATCCATCTTAATAAAAATTTAGCTCATGGTCAATATGTTATTATATATATATATATATATATATATATATATATATATATATATGAGAATATATTTTAAAAATTAAACATTTTTAATTATATTTTTTATAAGTTTTACTTATTAATTAATATCTTTTATTAAATAAATTAAGAAAAATATTATATATATATATATATTAAATTAATTAATTATAGTTGATAATTCAAGATTAAGTTATTATTATTTTTTAAAAATAAATTAACTTATCCATTTGACAAGTTAAACAAGACAAATTAAAATATGTTAATAAATTAAAATTACAAATTCAATCCGTTAAATTTGTGGTTGATGCACTTTGTCATATCTACTTACACTCGGTTATTCTTAAATATATTATAATTTAAATAATTTTACTCAATATTTTCTATCAAACATAAAAAACCGGTTTTGTGCAATATTAAATGATTATATGATTCACATCATATATCAATTATTCATTAATTTAAGCCAAAGACAAACGAGAGTCTGGCGTTTAGTCGAATAACAGATGGACGGATGAGATCTCTCATTGAACGCATCTCTGTCGTCCACGTAGCCACCAAATGTCTGAGAATCAGATTCGGTCCCTCTCCCTCTCCCTCTCCCACTCCCACTCCCAAACCAACGATCTTCATCTGCGACGAAAGCCATTCGGAAAACGAAGCATCGTTCGGTGAAAATCGGTGACGAATCGAAGATCACAAACTCACACCTGCATCAATCAAAATTCATACATCACTTTCACTTCCATTCCTAATCTGCCAACCTTCTTCGCATTTACACGTTTCTTTCAGGTCAACCTTCGTCACTTTCGGATCGAATTGACAATTATCCATGCTTCTACTGCTTCTGTCTTATTCTTTGTCTCGATTATTTTTAGCGTCGATATGTATTCGCACATCGTATTGTTTATTTCTTACTGTTGTGTTTAGTGTGTATATGTGTGTGTGTGTGTTTTTTTTTTTTTTTAAAACTTTGCTGATTACAGCTGATCCGTATTATTTCAATTGAGGTTACTGGTTTGTCCTTTGGCACGTGCATGTTTCACTTTTCATTTTTTTTGTCTGTGATATGTTGGACATTTTGATTTTAACAAGTTTTGCAGAGTTATTTTAGTGTATTGGATTTTTGGTGAGTTTCATTACGCGGCAATGCAGATGTTGGCTAAGCAGCTTCTAATAAAAACCGTGCTATAATTTCCTGTTCTCTGGTACTATCTAGTGACGAGGATATGTGAACTGGATGTTCTAGTGTGACAGATAATTCTGCTTTCATTGTTTAATATTAAGGAGAAAATGTCTTCAAAATGAAATCTATAGGCAGTTATAGAACAGATAATTTTTCCACAAGTATTTATAGAAAAGAAAAAAAAGAAAAAAAAAAAGAATTAATCTTCTCTATAAAGTGGAAACTTAACTTTTACAAAAACTCATTAATTTAACTTCTCCAGAAAATGGGAGATGTCTCTTACATCATTGTACCATATGAAAGTAGTGACTCTAATTTAATAAAGTCATCAGTTTGTTTGAATGCTTTTTGAAGAACCTAAATATAGTCATCAGTTTGAATACTATTTGAAGAACATAAACTAGTTGAAGGAACGTGTAGAACTAGGATGTAGAAGATCATATAGAGAAAAAACTAAGATACCTAAGTTTATTTTTAGTTTATACAGAAATTTAATATATTTATCTTCTTATTTTCTTCTTTTACAAGTGATTTTAGAGAAGTTTGCAAAACATAATTGTTGCATATAAAACTGAAGATACTTTTATGCGGTGATGTTTGCTAGAGAAAGAGACATGCCTTCAGTTTACATGGGAGATAGGGTGGATAATTCTACGTCGAGCATGGGAACTAATTCTAAAGAAAGCAGTGTTGTCACTGGGAAAAAAACATACAAAAACCTTCTGGTTGCCTCACGACCTAAAGGTTTTGCACAGAGAAATTATGAACAACTTGTGTCATTAACCTATGGTGACTTTGGAAGCAGTGCTGTGGGTCGTGTCACTTTTTTTTTACTCAAAGTTGCTGCATTAGAGACTGTGAGGAGGTTCTCCAAGAGTAGATGCCCGTGTGTATGGCGAGGCCTGCAGGGTTTACAGATCTTTGTCTATCCACCATTCAAATGGATTCAGAGATGGGCACCCTTCAGGGGTTTGGTGAAGAGCATGCAGGTTTGTTATTACTAATTTATGAAGAGTTCATAAAAGTTGTATTTGATTTTAAGTTTAAAGCAGTGGAATATGATAGTTCATAAAACCATTACAGCAAATGTGAATTAGCTTTGAACATCATTTTTAAATTTTAGAAAATGGTACGTGATGTGTATTTGTCTGCTTCTAGAAGATCTTTGTTTGGGATTTGAGAATATAGTTATGAGTGGCTTCTATGTATCATGTCTATTTGGAAAGTTGCTCAAAGGTCCTCCTAATTTTTGTTTTATATAAAAAAATATTGGTATTACCTTTGTAGAGACTATGTATAAGTATTTTCTTAGAGCTTGCTTTTAGTATTATGTCTTCATTAGAAATCATAAGATGTACTGTTTGATATTTCCCTTGCCCCCCTTACGATTGAGATAAAGGAGGACCAAATTAAGGAATTTTCTCCTTTTTGTTTGTTTATCTTTTTTACAGCTTCTCCTTACATCCCATGTTTAGAATATTCATGAAACAGATGGCTAATAAATTTCCCCATCACCAGGTACTATCAAGACCACTTTTATTTCTATCAATTGCAACAGTTGTTACTGATCAACCCGAATGTAGTGATGGAACCTCAGATTGTGTTGTTGATTCTCCTGATTCTGAAGAATCTCCCGAACTATCTCCTGCACAAGCTAACTTCAATACAAGGTATATGATTTTAAGCTTCATGATGTGTTGCTTAGCATCTGAGTTATCAGTGACCTTGGCCATAATGCTAGAGTAGCGGGTTATTTTTCTAATGTAGGGTTCTCTGACATTAATCTGCTTAAAACGTGATGAAGTTGAAGATTTACATTTAGCTTAACAAATAACTGATAAGCAACAACTAAAGAAAGCACTGGAGCTATCCTACATTGACCAAATTTGTAATGCCATTTGGAATAATTTTGTTTATGGCAATAGGATTAGTGTCTAATTTTGGAATAATAAAATTCATAGAAGGAAAGACGATATGTAAACAGAAGCAAACGGTAGTAAAAGAATGATCAACAACAGTATTTTGTGTCTCTGTTATTAATGAAGTAAGATAGAATATATACAGAGAGAAGGAAAGAGGAGAGAGAGAGAGTAACAGAAAGATACATGTAACAGAAAAGATATTACAAAGAAAAAGACGTAAAACAGAAAGGAAGCACGTAAAATACGTAAGGACGTAAAACACGTAAAAAAGCATGATGCTGACGTAAAACACATGACGTTAAGAGCCCCCCTCAAGCTGGGAATAGATGTTCGTCATTCCCAGCTTGGAACAAAAATCTTTGAAAATAGAAGGAGATAAAGCCTTGGTGAGGATGTCAGCTAATTGAAGAGAGGAGGATACATGTAGCAGTTTAATCAGGCCTTTGTTAACTCTTTCTCGAATGAAATGGCAGTCCAGTTCAATATGTTTCGTTCGCTCATGGAACACCTGGTTAGAAGCTATCTGTAAGGCAGATTGATTGTCACAGAAAAGGAGTGCTGGTCGAGTGAATTGGATACGAAAATCTTCCAATAGGTAAATGAGCCATTGAAGCTTAGACGAAGTGGTTGCATGGGCACGATATTCTGCCTCAGAAGAGCTACGAGAGACGGTTGGTTGCTTCTTTGATCTCCATGAGATGAGAGAGCTGCCAAGATAAATACAAAAACCCGTAATAGAGCGACGTGAATCGATACATCCAGCCCAATCGGAATCACTAAAGGCTTTCAACTGAAGGGAGCTATCAGCAGCAAGGAAAATGCCATATCCAGGAGCATGCTTCAAATATCGAAGAACACGATAAGCGGCTTGATGATGAACTGAAGTAGGGTTGGCAACGAATTGGCTGAGATGTTGGACAGCATGAGTAATGTCAGGACGTGTGTTTGTGAGATAAATCAATCGCCCAATGAGTCTCCTATAACCTGAAGGATCCACTAAAGGTTCACCACTAGAAGCAGATAAACGAACAAAATAGTCCATGGGAGTAGATGAAGGAGAACAAGCGAGCATGCCAGTGTCAGAGAGAATATCTAACGCATATTTGCGTTGAGACAAGTGAATACCAGTTTTATTTCTAGCAACCTCCAACCCAAGAAAATATGTTAAATCACCTAGATCTTTGATTCTGAAAGCGTTATCAAGAAGAACAGTGATAGCACGAATTTCAGAAATGTCATTACCAGCAAGGACGATGTCGTCTACATAAACTAGAAGAGCAGTGCAAGTTGATTCTGTGAACTTTAAAAATAATGCGTGGTCTGCAGAGGATTGTTGATAGCCATGCGATATAAGGAAAGTGGAGAGACGAGCATACCATTGTCGGCTGGCTTGTTTTAGCCCATACAAAGACCGTTGCAAACGACAAACCGGACTCGGTATGGATGAAGTTACACCAGGAGGGAGGTGCATGTAAACCACTTCGTTAAGTTCCCCATGAAGAAATGCATTATTAACATCCAGCTGTTTGAGATGCCAGTCATGAATGACAACTAACGAGAGAAGAAGACACACAGTAGTGAGCTTGGCTACTGGAGAAAAGGTGTCAAGAAAGTCAAGACCTTCAAGCTGCGTATACCCCTTTGCAACGAGACGCGCCTTATATCTTTGAACAGACCCGTCAGAGTTATGTTTGATTTTGTAGATCCATCGACACCCGATCGCAGATTTGTTTGGAGGTAACGAAGTGATGACCCAAGTATTATTCGTTTCGAGTGCAATAATCTCGTCTTTCATAGCTTTAATCCAACAATCACTTTTGGAGGCTTCAGTGTAGGAGGAAGGTTCGGTGGTAGTGGAAATGGTCAAGATAAAATGACGAAAAAAAGGAGATAAACGATCGTAAGAAATATAAGAATTAAGAGGATAATGAATACCTGGAGAAGAAGTCGGTGCAGTTGATGCGAGGGTGACGTGAAAATCATGCAGGTATGTGGGTGCCTGTCGTATGCGGGTAGAACGACGAAGAACAGGTGGAGATGTAACAATATCTGAAGGGTGAGTAGAAGAAGGGGAGGGAATAGGGTCGTGAAGAAAGTAATTACTGGTAGTAGGTAAAGGAAGGGAAGGGGTAAAAGAAGTCGTATGTGAGTCAGAGTTTGTGTAAGGAAAATGATTTTCATAAAAGACTACGTTACGTGATACTTCAATATCACGTGTGTGAAGGTTAAAAATGAGGTATCCTTTTGTGTTGGGTTTGAAACCGAGATATATACATGGACGGGCTCTGGGATCAAGTTTCTTACGATGAGCTTGAAGGGTACTAATATAGCACAAGCAGCCAAAAACACGAAGTGTGGAAATATCGCATGGTTTGTCATATAGTTTTTGAAAAGGAGATATATTTTGTAAAAAAGGAGTTGGAATGCAATTTATGAGATGAGCAGCATGTATGATAGCAAAATTCCAAAAAGAGGGTGATAAGTTGGAGTGAAAAAGAAGGGCCCGAGTGATATTAAGGAGATGTTGGTGTTTCCGTTCCACTATGCCATTCTGTTCAGGGGTTTCATTACAGGTAGTTTGATGTATAATTCCTTTGGATTCAAAAAATTTATTCATCAAGAATTCAGCACCGTTATCAGTTCTAATAACTTTGACTCGTTTTCCAAATTGGTTTTCAATAAGATTGACAAAATTTATTACATGGTTACGAGTTTCGGTCTTAGATGACATGAGAAAAACCCACGTGAAACGGGAATGGTCATCAACGATAGTAATAAAATATTTATGTCCATGCAAAGAGATTTTTGAACAGGGTCCCCATATGTCAATATGAATTAAGTCAAACGTATGAGATGCATGAGAATTGCTTAATGAAAATGGAAGTTTCTTTTGTTTGGCATGGTGGCAAGTATTACAAGTGAAATGTTTATTACTATATAAGAATGGATAATGTTGTTTCATAGTGTTAAGTCTTTCATATGACAAATGACCCATGCGAAAATGCCATAAATCAATGTCTTGGACAGTGTATTGGGGAGAAACAATAGTGGAGGAAACTGATGGTATTTGGATAATAGGTATGGTCAAAATGTAGAGTCCTCCTTGCACATCAAGCTGTACCAATCTTCTCTTTGGTGTTCACATCCTGTATAATGCAAGACCCGGGGAAAAAATAAGTTGACAATGAAGAGAAGAAATCAATTTAGAAATAGAGATTAAGTTAAACGTGAAATCAGGAATATACAAAACATCTCGTTAATTGGAAGGACTCATTGAATTTGATTATGCCAGAATGAGTAGCATGAACATGATGACCTGTGGGCAACTTAACAACTACAGGATCGATAGAAGTATATGTAAAGAAATTAGAAAGGGAGGAAGACACATGATCAGTTGCACCTGAATCAATGATCCAAGAGGATAGATGGCGAGAAGTGACGAATAACATTTACCCGAAGAGGAGGGTTGTGCGAGAGATAGAGCTGACGGAACCAATAGTAGTGTGAGAGGAAGAAGGAGCTGAGCTACCATTGGTGAATTGTTGTATTAAAGTCATTAAGGCTTGATACTGCTTGTTGAGTGAAACGAAAATCCTGGGTCATGAGAGCTTGCTGTTGATCATTATGAGTGACATTACAAGCATCAGTCACGGTGTTGTTGACAGTAGAATTCTTTCCTGGAGAAGATTTATGACCTGGAGGAAAACCATGTTTGCGATAGCAAACTTCTATGGTATGACCTGTTCTACCACAATAAGTGCAAATTTTAGTGAATTTGTTAGAAGAATAACGTGAGCCTTTGTTATCTTGCGTAGAGGGAAAACCATGTTTCTTATAGCAAAGTTTCTCAGTATGGCCAGCACGTCCACAATGAGTGCAACTGAGCGAGGATGTGGCAGCATTAACCACAGTCGTTTTGGAAGAAACATTATCAGCAAAATCGGTTCCTATTAATTGGCGTTCTTGTTGAGCAACAAACGAAAATATCTTGGAAATTGGAGGGATAGGATCCATAAGAAGGACATGAGATCTGATGTTGTTGTATTGATCATTCAAGCCACGTAAAAATTGCATGGCCTGATCCTCTCGTTTTCTTTGTGTAATGGAAGGAATAACCTTACAACAACATTTAATTGAACAGGTGCATATGGGCTCAGGTCGGAAATTCTCCAATTCATCCCAAATGATACGAAGTTTAGTGAAAAACTCGGTAATGGACATATCACCTTGTCGGAGGGAGGATGCTTCATACTGTAGATCTGAAATACGTAGGAGATCGCCTTGAGAATAGCGGGATTTGAGATCATTCCATATTTCATTAGCTTTGTCCATCCAAAGCACACTCTGTCGGATTCAAGGAGATACAGAATGTACGATCCACGAAACAACCATGTTGTTGCATCGTTTCCAAGCTGAGCAATTGATATCAGATTCAGGAGGTTGAGGCGCAGATCCATCAACAAATTCCAGTTTGTTTTTAGCACTAAGGGCTGTAATCATTGATCTACTCCATGAATGGTAATTACTGGAGTCAAGAATAGGTGATACTAAAGCTGTGGCAGGATTCTCTCCAGGGTGTAAGTAAAGAAAACTATAAATATTGGGTGTTTGATTTGATGCTTCAGCCATAATGAAAAAAAAAAGGTAGAAAGAAAGCGCAGCAGAGCTCTTCAATGGAAGAGCTCTGATACCATAATAAAATTCATAGAAGGAAAGACGATATGTAAACAGAAGCAAACGGTAGTAAAAGAATGATCAACAATAGTATTTTGTGTCTCTGTTATTAATGAAGTAAGATAGAATATATACAGAGAGAAGGAAAGAGGAGAGAGAGAGAGTAACAGAAAGATACATGTAACAGAAAAGATATTACAAAGAAAAAGACGTAAAACAGAAAGGAAGCACGTAAAATACGTAAGGACGTAAAACACGTAAAAAAGCATGATGCTGACGTAAAACACATGACGTTAAGAAAACAACAACTAAAGAAAGCACTGGAGCTATCCTACATTGACCAGATTTGTAATGCCATTTGGAATAATTTTGTTTATGGCAATAGGATTAATGTCTAATCATTGTCATTATATTTTCCAGGTTTCATTGAGGTTCCTGATTTTTAGTTGATTTATTCAAATCCCTGTTTCTGAAAGTTATTTGTGGTGATGTGAAAACATTATTCACATTATTCTGCAGTTCATAAAATGATTGTTACTAGTGTAATAGCATGTGAGTACAATAATTCATCAATAAAATTGTTCAAAATGGAAGAATGATTATGATTCTACAACACTGTACCAACTTCTACAACTTATAAAAATGTAGTATCTTTTTCTTTCAAAGTTGGTGCATTGTGCAGGATTAAGAATCTAACTATGCCTTCCTGTTCTATGGGTCTGTTTGAAGAAACTTCTCCATAAGCACTTTTAACAGAGAAAAATATGAAGGAAAAACGGCATTAGCTTCTCCATAAACTTGTATTAACATATGTATAAGTTAATTTGTAGAAGCTCTCTCATATTAGCTGCTCCAAAAGATTATTTTTAACAAATGCACACGTTAATTTTGGCTTATGGAGAAATTTATTTTTTCATTTTTTCTTCTTATTTCTTTTCCTGGAAGTGCCAAAGACCTATATATCATTTGGAAAACTAAGGACTTGTTTACTTCTGTTTCATTTTGTTTTTACTTTCCAGTCACTTTTAATTTACAAATTTGTCACATTGTTTCAATACTTTTCCTGTTTCAAAGATTTATACAGAAACAGTGAAAACAGTTTTATTAATTTTTTCTCTTTCCTATACTAATCTTGCAAATTTTCTACTACCTTCAATTTTCAAAGATAACTTGAACATAAAAACCATGCAGACTATACATAGTGAATTTCCTAGCCAAGCATCTAAAGGACTGTCCCTTAATCAATTTTAGTATTTCAATGTTTTAGATACCATAGATATGAATCTCCTACACGATTACTTCATCCTGTAGTGAATAAAATGCTTCTTATGCCCTGCATGTTTTTCAAGATAAATTTGAAATTATTATTTGGAGCTTTCAATATCTATAATTCTCCTATGCAGCTTCTTTAGTCTTACATTTATCTTTCTTACCTTTTGCAGTCAGTGTGAGATAGATCCTGAAGTTTTAGAATACGAAAACTGGTTGACTCTACTTAATCAAGAACTGGAAAATCAAGGGATTAGTTTGCCAGAAAGGTATAGATTTTTTTTATTTTATTTTTTATGTGCCTAAATATAACATTCCAAAAAATATACTTAGATATGATTCTCTCAGATTTCCATTTCAAAACTAGGCTATTTGATCTACCTACAATTGCAGTTATTTTGTAATTTACGTTGATAGATACCTTTTTCTACTGTTTTCTTTTTTTTTTAAAAAAGGCCACAAGAAATAAATAATTTATAGCAATTCCACAATTGTGTATTGTTTCTTTTGAACTGGACATATATGAAATAATAGGAGTGTTAGCAGTACACTCTACTATTGATTAAATTTTTTTGGAAACTCCAAAATCATGAGTTTCATTGAATATGACGAGATCCAAAAAAAATTGTGATTTCTAATAAATTTTAAACCAATAAGATAGAATCTATTTAAAACAGTGTGTTCATAGCTTTCCTATTTAAATAATCCTTAGTAAGTGAATAACATTCAGTGTAATCCCTTTATAGTTATGCTATAGTTAACAGTATATAATATAATCCAGCTATTCATAATGATTGTGAAATTTAGGCCAATTGTTTATTTATACTCATTCTGATCTTATGTTATGGTGTTTATTGGGGCAAGTTCTTAAGTCCTGGCCAGAGCAGCCTTATTAGATAGCAATAGCATATTTACCTGCATATTTCTTGGTTTCTCCTGTTGCAGCGGACCATGATTTAGTAGTGTTTATGCAGAATCAATGATGATGAGCTCCACAGATTTTACACAGCTTCTAATAATGACTTTTCATGCTTCCTTACCTCAATCAAGAAGACAATACTGTGGCGGGAGAATTACAGATTTCTTTCAGGAGAAGAGCTGGAAATCTGGTCAAATATGGTGTTCTGGCATGGATTTGATGTTTTGCACAGACCTTGCCTCATTGTAAGGCTTGGGATAGCCTGTCGCTCTTTGGCCTCTGAAGATAGACTTCATTTTGCTCAGGCAGTTAGTATGTTTTTTCTATTGAACATGCTGTATTTCTGTCTCTAGCCATTTGTTCTTATATTTGCTCTATTGGTTTCATGCTTAAGTTTGATGTTAATCAGTGGTCTGTACTTCAGTATCACAGGTAGAATACGGAGTCTTGCACTTGCTAGATGCAGACCACCCTCAAATGGCAGTATTGGTGGACTGTGAAGGGTTATCTCCATTGAGAATTCCCATGAAAATGATGAGAACTTGTTCATCCCTTCTGCAAGATTACTTTCCAAATCGACTTGGTTGTTTGTTTGTCATCCGACTGCCAGCAATTGTTCGTGTTATTGCCCAGACTTTTATTCAGGTAAACTTTCCTTTCCATTTATTTATTATGCTAAAATAACAAAGCAAGTAGCAATAGAGAAGGTATTCATGAAGTGGGTTGCTAATATAGTGTATGTATAACATGGCTTGTTCGGTTAAGTGCAATTCCATTTATACTTAGAGCCCCTCAAATCTACATACAGATTCTTATCCTAAAATGATGTTTTTCTCCATTCTTAGAAAAATACCACTGTAAAACTTTGCTTTATTTAAATGAACTAATTTAAGATTTTGAATCTAGGTTTTGAAGCCAGCTACTAAGAAGAAGTTGAAGATAGGGGGGGAGATATATCGGAAAGTACTTTTTGAAAATTTTCCAACACCACCATCATATCTTGGAGGAAGCTGCACTTGCATGAAATGTTCTAAAATTGGCAACTGGAATATGCTGCAACCTCATTCAACTGGGACGAGCAGAATTGATAGGGAGCAGGATATCAGTGACAATGGGGGTTTGCCATCATCACTGCATCCATCTAACGAATTAGATGAGCTTCAAGTCAGCAATTCTGACCAGCTGTTGAGAAAGGCTGTCATAAGTTTTCTCGTATTTTGGGTTTTCGTAGCTCTTGGTGCTGGAATTTACGATCCTGGTAGTCGCCGCTTAGCCCCATAGCCTAAGATTGGCCAAATTAGTTGTTTCCCTAGTTGAATAAATTTTTAGAGAACACCTCTAATTTGAATACGTGTTTCTAAATTAGGAGCTGTTGTTATTATACAAAGTTCCGAACAATAAAGGTGCATTCTTTCGACAATAGATCTCCCGTTATGGCTTGAACAACTGCATTGTAAAATCTTTTCTTGAATTTATAGATAGTTATCCCAAACAAAATTATATCAAATAAACGTTAGTGCACAAAACTGCTTCAACTACAATGTTTGATCTTCTCAATTGAATGTTATAAAGATGAATATAACTTAGACACATTTGAGAGATTCTTTAGCATAAAAGACTTTATATTTTTAGTAGATTAAATTTGAAAAACAATTCTAACTTATATTTGACCTGAAAACTACGTATTAGCTATATTGTTGAATTAAAAAGTATACAACATTAATTAATTATATATATAGATAAATAATATAAATATAACATTACTCATTTAATGAAAATTTGTATCATTAATTTTGTAAACGGATTTATATTTCTCAAACTCATCTTTATTGAATTTTATATTAAGATAAATCAATACGAAACTTGTCGCAATTCTTTATAATTTTATTTTTTATATAGTTTTTTAAAATATAAATTTTATGTTTATAATTTGGGTTTTATGTCTTTTATCTCTTAGATAAAATGTTCTAACTTTATTATTATTGTCAGTTATTGATAAAGTATCATTCTATGTTATAAGTTTATTACATATTGATTAATAAAAAAAATACTAATATATTATAATAAATGTAATCTATAAATAAATCAATATAATACTCTTCAATCATATATAATAAAACAATAATTTTAATTTATTCATAAAAGTAATATAAAATAATGTGAATCTTTATTTTAATGCAAATTCTGAATGGTCGAACTTGCCAACTATGCTAAAACCCGACGCTAGGCGAAACAAACTGGAAACAGAAAAGGGATGGGATGAGGTCAGTCAATGTTTGACGCAAACACAAGATACCGACAGTTTACTTTGAGGCCACCTCAGACATTCAATAAGTTGTCTTCTCCGACCGAGACTACCCTGGAAGAGGGCTTTGTTTTATATAATTGTTTAAACATTTTTTCTGTTTTATCTTTATCTAAAATTATAATAATTAAATTTTAAAAAGAAAAAACAGAGAAAAAAACAGTTATTTAAAATAATTATATGACGTGTTGTGTTTAAATAAAAAAGAATGAAAAAAAAAATACAATGATTGGTAGGATAGTTAAAACTAATTTTTATCATTCATTTTTTTTATATTTTTTATCATTAAAATATAATTTAATTTTTTATATTATGATAAAATATATTTAATTTGTATATATTTTTATCGTCTAACCGAGTTTTAGCATATTCCTTCGTCTCAGTATCGATATCCCTTCATATCCCTTCATGTCAAAGGTTCGATACATAAATTAATAATAATATAAAATATATGTCAATACGAATATTTAAAAAAATATAAAAAAAATACCAAATTTCTTTATGAAGTAAGTCAAGTAATTGTTTCTTATTTGTAGGACATTTTATTATTGATATCTTACAGATTATCTAAGTTATAATACATCTATATATTTTAGCATATATAAATTTTGTAAGCTTAAAGTAAAATAGTATACATGTGAGGGGAACAAGTTATAATTTATCGTTGACTATTTTATCTTTATCACACATTTATTATTGGAATAATGTTTTTAATGCAAAAATAAGGTTTTTATCATTGTATCATGATTGTGATTTTCATAATATTTTATTATCTTTTTATAAATTTGGTGAATTTGAATTCTTATATATTTTGTCTCATTAATTTTATATCTTTTACTTCTTTGTTACCCCTTTTCTTGCCCCTTCTTCTCTCCTTATGTTTGCTTTGTTTTATTGTTTTGTTCTTTATCTTAAATCAATGTTGTTGTAAGTAATTTATCACTAGTCTTGTTCGCTCCTTTCTCTTACTTTATAAATGTCTTATTCTCTTTTTGTTGATTATTCAAAGAAGGTTATTCCCCTTGTTGTTGGGGGAGGTTCCTTTAAGTGAAGGTGATTCTCCAATTTCCAAAGCAATATATCTGATCACTCTTCTTCTAATGAAATTGAAGTTGTTTCTTTTGTAAATGTTGGTGGTTTCTAAGAGAACTCAGACACCCTTCTTAATCTAGGTAATAACATTTGACATCCACTGTAGAGTAAGATAAAAATTTTCCCACACTATTACTTGGAGATTAGACAATGAAGCAATTATTATCTTCTACACATTTTATAGTCAATTGTACTAATTAAAAACCTCAAAACTCATATGGGCGAGTTGCAACGACATACTAATATAAAAATACGAGACACCATAGTTACCTTTTAAGAAAAAGTTGATTGAGTCCAAAAACAACAACAATTGAACAAAAGCTCACAAATGAAGATGAAGTCGCGACTACCGCTGGTCTCAATCCGAACATTCTAAGCAGCAGAAAACTAATGTCAAGAGAGAAGTTAAGGGTTCGAAAAAAAACTAAGAAGGAGTTCAAGTCCACCATGTCATCGAAGGAACGACCTGAAGGGATGCATTTGTAAGGACCTCGAAAGCGATCACCTACTTATGATGAAGCAATGAGTCGGGCACCTCCCCTAGCTCCTCCAATATTATAACAATTACGAGCCTAGGATTAACGAGAGCAAATGTGACTTTGGCTTTCTTTGACGACCTCTTAGTCAATTCCCAAATAGGAGTTGTTGAACCCTCAGGCATCGACTTGGTTAGGGAAGTTGTCACGTCCAAAGGAGTAATGCCTAGCATGACACAAATCTTTTTGTAGTAAAAAAAAACTCTCCTTGATCTCAATATAAAGCCAAATATTAGACATACTCATAAACTATAGTAATATTATCAAAAAAGACATTCAGCTCACCATTAAATCAAGACATTTAATATTCAACATAAGTGATAGCCAATAGATCCTTACAACTTATTAACTGAGATAACTCCTTTAATATAGTTATAGACACCTAGTCCTCAGTAGAAAAGAAATCCTCAGAATGAGACTTAAATTTAACAAGAGTTGTCTAATATAAAGGGAAGTGTGATGAGTTATTAGGAAATAGAACAAAGATCTCAAAAGGTTTATATTACTAAATTTTACTAAAAAAAATTATTCTTAAAATTCTTAAATGATTGGGTATACATAGTAATTAACCCACCATGTTGGAAAGCATTAAGAGAGATCAAACCGATGAAAGAACCATATTTCAACTAATAAAAATACATAAATACACTTATAGAAGATACCAATCCTAGAAAGAAGCACAAAGTTTGAAAAGCCTTCAAAAAACTCAACTATTAGGATATAACTAACTTGGAGCCACTCTAAGGATAGATAACATTTCACATTCAAAATCAACAAAGGATAGTAAAATCTCTAGCTCCTTAAACAAACATTCTTACATGAAGGTGAAGTCTTCACCATCAATTCTCAACTTCATATAAACTTGATCAGAGGAGGAGCACGACTGAATGGTCATTAGATGAACATAAGATGGTTCACATATATGAAAAGATTTTATACAAACCTTTTATAACAAAAATTGAAATATACTTAATCTATTATGGTGCACCTCATTCAATACCCAATAATACTCTAGGTTAGGAAAATGAGTAAATCTATCCTTACACTTAGCCTTAATAAAACCTCCTTCACTAGGACCCTCTATACTATGTTTTTTACATTTCGAGAAGATAAAACAATAGTACAAATGGAAACCACCATTGGAGCAACTTTAGAGGTCACTTCCACCTCATTAGAAAATGCACAAACATCTTTAATACTATCAAAAGAAGTGACTCTAATAGAGTGCACATCTTTGGAAATAAGAGAAGACACTCGCTTTAAAGAATCAACAAAAATAGAGGCAGACATCACCAAAATAAAAGATGAAAAGTAACGAGTTACCTTGAAATGATGATAGTAAGAGAAGAACGTGAACAAAGAGAAATAACATAAAACAAGAATTGTAGAGAATGTGAATAGAAAATGGAAAGAGCAGTGCAGTAAAAAAAAATAAAAGTTCAAATTGTTTCTTATTCTGAACAAAATAATTTAAAACTCAATGATTACAATTTTTTTTTCCTAATTAATATAGTGTTAGGCTTAAAAAAACAACATGACGAGAACATGATGAGCTCATTCATCTATTAATGTTACACTTGTATACACTATGGACTCTAAACTTAGGGGAATTGTGTACTTATCTGACCCTAAAATCATGAAATACTATAATTGTCTAGATATTTAGACAAAATATCTTGACAATATTCGACATACTGGGAAACCAATTTTAAAATTATCCAAAAATATTTTAAATACGTTCAATAAAATAGGGATAAAATATCCCATAAGTCTCAGACAATTTTTGTATCTCTTTTATATCCTCTTCATTATCTATTATTATTTTAATTGTTAATTTACATACTAATTTAAGTATCATAAAGTCTTTAATTGATATTCCTTATTCATTTTCCATATACTTAAAAGGACTAAAGAGAGTTCAAACACTCTTCTTACTCCAGGTAATAATATATTATAATTTTCATCATTATATTAATAAATTAAATTTAAAATATTTATTATATTATTAATAATTCAGATTTAAATATTTATTATAATTAAATCTTTAATATATAAATATAATTAATTTTTTAAATTAATGAATAAAAATTTATTAAAAATCTATTTAATTAAATATTTTTTTAAATATATAATTTTTTTAAAAGAATAATAACAAGAACAAGCAATTCAACCTATCAACGTAATGGTGTGTACGGTGGGGTTGTGGGTGATGACGGATGGTGCGTACGGTGGTTTTAGGGGCGAGGGCTAGCTGTGTGTAGACCCCTAATTTTGCCCGGTCTCTCAATAAAGGCTAAAGAGACTTCCTACAACAAAGACAAAGCTCGCCTGACATCTCAATAAAGGCC